TGGAGGAAAAAGAATTGGATTCTTACAATGTTATGGAACTTTAATCTTAAAAAGATCTGTACTTGAAAAAGCCAGTAAAGCAAATATACATTCTAAAGATCAGGTCCCATTGGAGAGTTCCTTTCTCTCTCTCTCTCTCTCTCTCTCTCTCTCTCTCGTGAGTGCACATGTCCTCTGGCAATAAAAAAAAAGAAAAAAAAACAATTATTTACAGTGTCACAAAGAATATCAACCACAACTAATAACATTTTAAATGCGTCAGATACTATAATCTTAATTCCTTTATTACTCAACAAAACTCTGCTAGTTTTTTTTTAAAGAATTATTAAATTGTATTATTTTTAATTTGACCAGAGAAGGAGAGAGAGAGAAAGAAAGTGAGAAGGAAAGCCACCAGGTCTGGGACTCGAATCGTGGTTGGCTATGTGGCAGTCCAGCGCCCTTAACCACCATGTCACCTGTCAACCCCAAATTCTGCAAATTTTTTTTTTTAAAAAGATTAAAATACATGAAGCTTTAGCAAAAATGTTTTAGCTTTGTGGCTGGTCTCTTTGTCTATTATTTAAAGCAGTTGAATTCCATGTAGCTGATAGCAGTTTGAATCCTGCTTGGCAACTTGGCATACACCAAATCCTGACAGGACAGAGAAATAGGGTTACTCCCATTGAGGCGTGCTTTTTATCTATGTCACTCTTTCTCTTGTCTGGTGAGTGCACATGCCCTCTGGCAATTAAAACACACACACACACACACACACACACACACACACACAACGTGTAACCTTTGTTTTTAAAAGAACATACATTTTACTTACGGGGTCATTTATTTCCTACTTGTAATACTTCCTTTTCTGCGGAAGAATACGAATGAGTTTCTCTGTCTCCACCTTCTTCTTTTCTGTCATTCATTCCTAACTAGGGGTCAAAGTGTGACATACCTGATTGGTGAATTGGGGAATACGAATATAAGCATGCCATAGTGATTATTACCCTTCTTTCTTTTTCGTGGTAGCCAGCCAGCAGCAGAAAGTACAAATTCGGATTGGTTTCTTCATGCTATCATTTTATAGGGAGAGGATTCAACATAAACCTGTGGTAATCAAGTTGTACTTATCAGTCTATCTCATTCTGGAGTTCATGATTAAGAAGCTTGGGTGAGCTCCATGTCCTAGTAGTTAAAGCAGCTGGATCCCAGATGGCTAATCCCGTGGCTTGTGGCTTGGACCGGGGGCTTGAGAAACATGCTGGGTGCATGCAGGTGCATGCCCAAAATCCTCAAAGGAGAGAGAAATGGAGAAGGGATTATGATATGACCATTTCTCATTAGTGCCTTCCCCTCTCCCCATCTCTCTGTCATTATGGCAAGCACACATGCCCTCTAGCAAAAAAGAGAGAGAGAGAATATAATGCATTTTATGTTAACCATAAGAAAAGCAACACAAAACTCTTGTCATGATATAGTTGTCCATGTCCTTATCACCAAGGCAGCCCTAGGATGAGAGAGTGAGGAGCGAATGCTACGTCACTTTGGGATAGAGAGGAGGGATGTGCAAGGTCTCAAAGGATGAAGGGGATAATGTGGAGCTATTACTAAAACATTAAAGTTCTTTGTAGATACCAATAGTGTGATGAGTAAGAATCTCTTGCGATGTCCTTGTGATTTATTTTGTAATCTTTATTCCTTCCATAGTTGTAAAATAATAGTATTTTTTAAATAAACAACATGTATTCTCAGATTTTGCTATGACTAGTTACATATAAAGGTAAAATATGGGAATTTGATTTAAAATCATTTTTATCTTTCTCTTTTTTAATGTAGGTGTAATGTCTACTACCTGGGATTTGTATGATTCTTATAATGCTATAGAACTTTCATCTTCATCAGTTAAAAGATCTGCACTTGAATCAACTAGTAAATCAAATATACTTCCTAAAGATCGGGAACAAAGATCGCAAGGAAGTACTATGGAAAAAAGTAAGATTTCATTTATTTCAGCTTTTCGAATGATATTCTCACATGACATTTTTAATACTAATAAATTCTTTATCAGTATTTGCAAAGCGTTCTTTTTCTTTTTTCTTTTTTTGGAGAGGCTTTTTTTTTTTTTTTTTTTTTTTTGTTTTTTTCCTCCACCTCCTTCTCCTTCTTCTGTTTTCTTTTTTCCTTTGTGATTCTTTACAAC